TAAAGTAGGCCTATTTGACTTAACCGTGTTTTGTGACTTTTCTATCAATACGAGATAAGAGTAGTTTATTTTTATAAATATTACAAGTATGACTTCAAAATACTGTAATGATTTTATCATTCCAAATGAATAGCACTTCATTCCTTCATTGTGTTATGATTTTAGGGATTGCCCGTTTTAACCGACCTTTTGAGCTATCCGACCTAGCTCCGGTCCCATTAGGGTCGGTTGAGAGGGGTCTACTGTATTGGCTGTCGTCAATCATGTTTTTAAGGCTACAAGTCCCTAAATTCCAAAATGTAGTCAAAATCCTTCTGCTGGATTTCGAGATATATGTTACAGGCAAACAGACTTTGCTCATATTCTAGTATAGGACAAACAGAATCATTGATTGTTGAAATTGGGTATTTGGGACTCTTAATAATTGTATTTAATTTCTCAAGATCATGAAGGAGATTTTTTTTTTTTTTTTGTATAGAATTTGTAACCATCACATTTTAATGAGGCAATGTTTTTCAACAGCTGACTCTGAAGATGGACAGCTGGTCCGCCAACAACTCTTTGGGTTGACTCAACATTTAAGACCTTACTCTCTGAGTGGAGAAGAGTCATTTGAAGTGATTTATTCAGGTGTTTTGGGCACAGAAGAAGTCAACAGTATAATACATTATCAGTATAAAAAGGAAACCCCTCCAACTCTTAGTCAGTTTTCAAATGAGACTAAAAAAAGGACAATGAAGAAAACAAAGTGTATTCTGGATCAACTACAAATTAATATGCCAAAAGATTGTTACAATGAATATCAATCAGTTTACAACTTTGACCTTACTACCAAAAGACATGCGATTGAGTTGTTACCACTGCAGTGTGAATCACTTGATTATACACCAGGAGACCCAGTAGGTTGGACATATGAAGTGAGCTGTTCAGCAACAATAACTGAGTGGACCAACAAGGATGTGCGTGAACCTCCAATAACCTTGGATAACTTCAGTAAGCATGTCAGGTATGGAGTGAAGTTTGATATTCCTCTAGCTGTTGATGGGAGAAACGTAACCTTGAAGCCAGACACCAAGTACTCTGTCAAGATGGAGGTGAATGGATACACCAAGTGTTGTCGTAATGACCAAGCGCATACTATCGAAAATGATCACTTGGCTCTAGAGATATACTTTCTTATTCAATGCAGACGCTGCTATTACTACTTTCCCTCAGACAAGTTGATGTACAGAGCAACAACAGAAGAATAATGGCACTCTGGAAAATTAATTAGGAGCTGTTGGGTTTTAAATTCCATTTAAGTGTATGTGCAGATCACTCATATCTTATTATAGTTTTTTTTATTTTTTATTCTTGTTTGACTCTGATTGTTGTGAAACTAATATGCTTTTTGTAAAATTCTTCTTATCCAAATGAAAATAAATGTAAATTTAGTTAAAAATATGTTTGGTTATCAGCATTCAGTGTGTGTGTAGTAAAGAACAAAAATGCAATTTTCAACAGATTTAAGTTGTATCTATGCTGCTGGAAAACCTGCTGCTGTAGAAGTGGAAATCCAAGAACCTTGTCTTAAAGTTGTTATTTGTCGTGTGTCTTTTGTATATAAATATGTATCAATCAAATTACACAGTAAAATAAATATGATCAAAAACTTCAACTAAGAATTGATTAATTTAACCTGTTACAACCTCCAAGAGTTTATTTCAAAATGGGATATCATTGATTGTTGTACATTACATTACATTAATATTAGTAATATTACAGTATTTTGGATTTTCAATTTTGACTGATAACTATTTGATTTCATTAATCAATCAAGACATATATCATGTCACAAGTTTCTATATTTTAATAGCGTCAAATAGGTGTAAGTATTTGTTGAAACTAGTAACCTTATACTGAAGTAGACTTCCCATCTATATGGACCCGCTGTAACCAATTTTTTATAAAAAAATAACGTAGTTGTATGAGCCAGTCACAGAATGCGTTAGTGTCTAAAATTCTATTTTATACCTTAATTGTTGTTGCTGACCAAATTGATAGGTCATAACAGTTGCTATAACTCAACATAAGTCATTCCCTAAGTTTGACTTGTCAAAAAGGTTTGTGTATTTGACAGAATTTAGTAATTTAGATCAGCACAATCTGTAGGTGGCTCACATCTCAACTATGACGATTTTGATCAAAAATCTGGCTACAAATTTTACATAGGAATGGAATGTATATACAGTATAATATAGTAAGTCAGTAGTCAGTAGGCCTATACAACTATAGTAACATTAAATATGAATTTATTTATAGATAAAAAAAATTGTATAAACTGATTTCTCTTATTAGATGGAGCAGTGAGTAAAATTTCCCTTTAAGCAGTGAACTGGTCAATTTATCATATAATCTTTCAGGTTTGACTAAAAACTACCAACTTTTTTTGGATTTCAACCGATGATTGTCACTGAGAAGAAAAAGACTTTGTTAATCTTATTGCTGACGTAGTGCTTGCTTACTAAGCTTGAAATTGTTGCCAGCAGTAAATACACATAATTCTCTGATAATTAATTACTTCTAAAATGTCTAGAGGGTAATTAAGATTGATGGTGGATATGAATTTGTCACAAGATTGTAAACTGGTACCTTTGACTATTAATACAACTGGGTACTAGACTGCCAGGAGTGTATTATAACTTAGATTATTAAACGGCAACCAACAAAGCCTAGAAAATGACAAGACAAATCTATGTTGGAGGTAGCTGACAGAGCCATCATCTTCTCATGATAGTTGTGTGACCATCCAGAGTCTGTGTCAAGCTCTTCCCATCTCAATGATACAAACTATGCTGTCATACTATTACATGAAAGGTCTGAGTAGTTAGAGTGCTCACCTGACAATCAGTAGGTCGCTGGTTCAATCCTGAGAAAAGTCAGTAGCTTTTTGATGGTTCAAAATTTACCCAACCGTTTGTTGTTATTGGGCTTTCAATAGTCCTTACTCAAGGAACAGCTGATCTCAGTACAGGGTTCTGACGGACCAGGATAGTCAGGTAAACAGGTATGGGAACAGGGAAGGTCAGGGAAAGTTTTTACAAAAGGCCGTAAAGCATGGTAAAATTTTAATCACGGAAATTTACTGAAAACTGATAAAGATCACATAATTTTGTGGATGATAAGTTATATTTAAATGAGATAATGCTGAGAAGATAACAAAAGTTCTGAAAAATCTATGGTGTATGTAATTTTTATTACCAATTTTTGGGTTTTATTTTGAGCTGTAAGTATTTAGAATTTGATTTCTCATTTAGTATTGTATTAATAAATGCCCCTGCTGCAGCAATCCTGCAGTCAAAGCAAATTTCCATTTAGTTTACCTGGCTGGATTTCTATAACAATATTCCCTTAAAATTTATCAGATTTATTTCCTATTCAAATAACATTAATTTTAATTAATAAGCTACGTTGGTTTGCTGGCTACAGGGAATGTAATAAGGAGTGTTTATTATTGAAATCTTGGTAGCTCAGTGTGAAATGAACAAATTCGCTAAAACAAAAAGCAAATCATTTCCGGGTCTAGGTCTTACCATGAGACCTGCAGTAATAGCTTATTCCCTATGTGGGAAATTCGCTAAAAGGTGTACGGGATAGTTGAGGCTGTATTAAATAAAAAAACATGTTTTTAAGCGATAAATACTTAAATTTTATCCAAATATTAAGAAAACTGAGTAACTGACAATACCTAAAATATACTGTGGTCAGGGAAATTAACAGAAAACTGCCAGGGAAAGTCAGGAAATTCACTTAAGATGTTTTTGTGGGAACCCTGCAGTATCAAAACTACACAGATCATTTCACTCCATTGTACACTCATCTTGCATTTAGCTTACAATATTCGGGTTAGGGGTTATCTTAAAAGTAGTGATAATGATGATAGTTATTACTTATCTTTTAACAGGATGTATTTAACACTAATAACAAAACCATACCCAGGCTGGCGCTAACCGAAACCCCCGGTCTGTATGACTTCAGTTAAAAATAATGGACCAAGCTTAGAAACACACAAACCAAAACCCTGGGCCTGTGAGACCCCACTTTAAAATACACTAACGCTGGGGTTCTGAGATGGTCAAGTTATGAACAGACAACCTGTCAAGGTCGGGGCGCAAAATTAACAAACAATATATCAACAGGTAAGGGAGGAAAAGGGGGGAAGGTATTGGGGGAATGGAATCCCTCAAGTAATTAGTGGGCCTCTCAGACCGGGGTTTCAGTAAAAGTGTTAAAGTGCATATAATTTATCATGATCTGGTATTGTAAAGGAGTAGGTACAATTATGTTCATGGAGGGTTTATTCACCTTCAAAAAATTGCTATGGGAGTTATTGTCAAAGCAAAGACTTAACTCTTGGTATAAAGAAATATTTCCCTTTTATTGCATCCTTTTGTTTGAGGTTCATCCATAAAATAATACTTTTGTTATTGAATAGTAATAGTAGTATAGTCAAGTCAATGACCATTTTCCTGTGTATTATCCCATACAGCACTGATTTTCATAAATATTAGGATTTAGGTTCTTTGTCCCCTATTTCACAATCGACCCTGTGCGTGGGGGAGGGGCCCCTCTTGAAAAATTTCTCATTCAAAAGAAGAACGGGAATAAATAAACTGACGTATTTTGAGCAACTTTTGTTGTATAAAGTTTTTACATATTGGCAAGTGAAATAGTCTGTTTTCATTGTGAATAACTGGAAAAATATTCATTTAATATAAAAAACAAGTTAAGAGCTAAAATGTAGCTTATAACAAAACAAAAACAATCATACATTTATGATGTATAATGGCTCAACAATACAAACGGTATTATTGCCTGTTGAAAGTGGGTATTTGGGACTCTTAATAATTGTATTACATTTATTACAATCATTAAGGAGATAAAAATATCAAGGGCCTCATTGTTTGTTTTTTTTAGAATTTGTAACCATCACATTTTAATGAGGCAATGTTTTTCCCCAGCTGACTCTGAAGATAGACAGCTGATCCGCCAACAACTCTCAGGGTTGACTCAACAGTTAAGACCTTACTCACTGAATGCGGAAGACAAATTGAAAGTGATTTATTCAGGAGTTTTAGACACAGAAGAAGTCGACAGTTTGTGTCATTGTCATTTTAATAAGGAAACCCCTCCAACTCTTAGTCAGTTTTCAAATGAGACTAAACCAAGGAAACTGAAGACAACAAAGTCTGTCTATGGTCAACTAAAAGTTAAAATGCCACGTGTGTCAAGTTTCGCGAATTTAGATCTCAACTTCAACCTGACTACCAAAAGACATGCAATTGAGTTGTCACCACTCGAGTGTGAATCACTTGATCATACACCAGGTAACCCTGTAGGTTGGACATATGAAGTGAGCTGTTCAACAACAATAACTGAGTGGACCAACAAGGTTGAGCGTGAACCTCCAATAACCTTGGATAACTTCAGTGAGCAAGTCAAGTATGGAGTGAAGTTTGAGATTCCTCTAGCTGTTGATGGGAGAAACATTACCTTGAAGCCAGACACCAAGTACTCTGTCAAGATGGAGTTGAAAGGAGGAACCAAGATTCATTACATTGACAAAGCTTATACCATCGAAAATGATCACTTGATTCTAAAGATACCCTATCATAGTCAATATGACTGCTACCTCTTTCCCTCAGACAAGTTGATGTACAGAGCAACATCAGAGGAATAATGGCACTCTGGAAAATAATAAAATACTTAGGAGCTGTTGGGGTTTAGATTACATTTAAGTGTAATGTGCAAAACATTCACTCATATCTTTTTATAGTTTTATTTTTAACTCTTGTTTGACTCTAATCGTTATAGAACTAATATGCTTATTAAAAAAATCTTCTAATCCAAATTTAAATAAATGCAAATTTAGTTAAAAGTATGTTTGGTTATCAGCATACACAGTGTGTGTAGTAAAAACAAAAAAACAATTTTCAACAGATTTAAGTTGTATCTATGCTGCTGGAATACTTACTGCTGTAGAAGTGGAAAGCCAAGAACCTTGCCTTGAATAAAACTTCTTGTTATTTGTCGTGTGTCTTTTGTATATAAATATGTATCAATCAAATTAAACAGTAAAATAAATATGATCGTAAACTTAAACTAAGTATTGATTAATTTAACCTGTTACAGCCTCCTAGAGTTTATTTCAAAATGGGATATCATTAATTGTTATACATAACATTAATATTAGTAATATTAAAGTATTTTGGATTTTCAATTTTGACTGTTAACTATTTGATTTGATTAAATTAATCAATCAAAACTTTATTCATCATGTCACAAGTTTCTACATTTTAATAGCGTCAAATAGGTGTAAGTATTTGTTGAAATTAGTAACCTGATACAGTATAATATAGCAAGTCAGTAGTCAGTATATAACTATAGTAACATTAAATTTAAAATCGTTTATAGATTTTAAACAAAATTTGGGATAAACTGATTTCTCTTATTAGATCGGAGCAGTGAGTAAAACGTTCCTTTAAGCAGTGAACTGGTCAATTTATCATACAATCTCTCAGTTTTGACTAAAAACTATTAACTTTTAGCGAATTTCCCTATAGGGAAGTAGCTATTACCGTAGGTCTCATGGTAAGACCTAAGCCCGGGACCGATTTACTTTTTCATTTTGATGTCCCCAGAGGCCAAAAACACCATTCGTTCAAATTTTTATATATCTATATATAGAGATATATATATATGTGTCCATCCGCACGATAACTTGAGTAATTTTTGTCCGATTTTGATAAAATTTGGTTTGAAGGTGTAAGGCGGGATTAACTTGAATGAGTTCGCGAACCAGCATGATCGGACTATGGGAACGGGGTTTTATGGGGTAAAAATAGGTTTTTCCCATTTTTGACCCTAAAAACACAAAATTTCACAATTTCTTTTTGAACCATTTTGTAGAGCTTAAAAAAACAAATAATTTAGTATATTGAAGCGTTATTATGCGCCTAATTGTTACGGAGAAAATTCAAAAAAATTGTAATTTTAAAATTCCCATGTTATTCTTATGGAGAATAAGTCAACTGTTGTAGTTTGCTTGTTTATGAACATATTTTGATTGATTTTGGAAAATACTTTTATTTCTTACTAAACTATTATTATTTTATAAAAAAAATCTTTTTTACCCTCCCTGTTGCAGCAAACCTAAGAACTCGTTAAACTCATTCTATTTAAATAGGAAATAAATGTGCTATTTTTATGGAGGCATTTTAGTGTAAATCCAATCAGGTTAATGGAAATTCGCTTAGTCTGCAGGTTTGCTGCGGCGGGTGTATTTTGTTTTCTCTTTAATGGATTTTAACCAATGATTGTCATTGAGAAGAAAGGACTTTGTTAATCTTGAAATTGTTACCAGCACTAAATCTATATATTAATAGGCAAGCATGTTTCTTTACAACCTTTTTTCTCAGCTCACGTGCATCACAGAGAAAATATACGCAAACTGTTAGAAAGATATTTTCCTGACCTGATACAGTATAATATAGCAAGTCAGTAGTCAGTATATAACTATAGTAACATTAAATTTAAAATCATTTATAGATTTTAAACAAAATTTGGGATAAACTGATTTCTCTTATTAGATCGGAGCAGTGAGTAAAATGTTCCTTTAACTTGTTCGCGGCGGCACGTCAAATGGCGGGTGTATCCCCAGTGCGGCGCAGCCCTAGGCGTCGAACAAACCCGATTGCCGCGTGTGATTGGCTTTCCAATTTCGGTCTGACGAATAGCAAATAACGTGCGAGGATGTCCTGCTTTACAACGAGAGTTGACATAGTTTGCTAAACACCCACAGATAGCAGCACTGCTTGGAACGTAGCCGGTCCCATTGGAATTGTATTGTCAAATGGAGGGAAAAAGACGGAACAAAAAGTAAATTTTTGAGATTGCCAGACGGGGATTTTACGAAGAAATTTACTACCAACCTACACCACAACAAAATACAGTATACTATTGATCAGTGATGTGCGAGGTTTCAAGTTTCTAGCTCCAATCCTGGCTTAAAAAAATAATAATTTCGTACTGCATAGCAGCTTGGGAGCGATCGCACCCACCAGGATGGCATTAGGGTTACGTATGTAGCCCAGTCAATAAAGACACAAAAACAACCAATGTCGGAACAAATTAGTGACAAGCAAAACTATATACCACTGGATAGTACACATTAAGATATACATTTTACCAAAAGTCCCCTAAAATCCCCCCGGTGCTTTCCCCCCCACCCCCCTCAAAGTCAGGAATTGCAAGGTTTTACTAAAACGCTCATATATCCTATATGGCTGATCGGATTACAATAATCTTAAATTCGTTGTATTCCTTAATAAATTGTCTAGAATAAAGTTCCTTTACACTTTTGCGATAAATCCAATACTTTCTTCAAAATTAAATTATAAATAATGAAATTGAGCAAATGTTTAAGCTGATATTTTAGTTTTTCTGCCGTAGTTTTTTTGTTCGGAGTAAAATCGAAAAACACTTCCTCTAAAGGTTGTAGAGCATGTTTTTCCGAACACGTTTATATATATAAGTATAGGATTCCGATATATCCATGGGCAGGGGAACGGCCCAACTAGATGGGAGTCCGAGCCTCGGTGGCGCTGCCGCCACCGCGCCGTGCCGCCTGATAGCCGCGATTGAAGTGATCGACCCACAGTAAGGTACGAATGACGTGTTTATGCAGTATCTATAAGTATAAAAGAGGATGTTTGTATATATAATATATATATATATATTTGTTTGGCAGTGATAAACTCAGACACCGCTGAACCGCTTGCCACGAAACTTGGTACATACGTGTAGAATTTCATGGAATAGGTTTATACACCATCAATTTCGTGATCCGTCCAATCGGCTCCGCCCCAGTGGCTCTGGAGTTTCCCATGTTAACCTTATGAGAAATTGAATTAATGAATCTTAACAGCTGTTTCAATTAAACAAGTTGGTACTGTTCTATGATGTTCAATAGCATTAAAGTTACAAGGATTTGAACATGTTTAGCCTCTGGATCACGTAATTTACTAATAAAAGGTTAAATACCTGTAGTACTGTCTGTGATCTTGGAATTTAGGTCAGCGACCCAGGTTTCGAACCTAAAGGTTCATTTTCAAGCAGGTACCAGAGTTAAAAACACATAACCTCTTCATAACTGTGGAGAGTCGTTATAACACACAAGACACGAACACGAAAACATTAAACATTAAACAAAATTGGCCAATTATAATACTGGTACGGTAGCGTGCGTGGTGTAGCCGGCAAAAGATGAGTCATGCATGCAACCTTTTATTACAAGGATTACCAACAGGGTGCAGCACTATTATTTCTTTTACATTTATGTCAACAGCTAATTTGCAACCAAAAGGTGAGTGAGCGTAGCGAACGAACTTCAACCTGGAGGCGAGTTAGCGTAGCGAACGAGCTAACCTGAAGGCAAGTGAGCGTAGCGAACGAGCTAACCTGAAGGTGAGTAAGCGTAGCGAACAAACTTAAACCAGGACGTGATTGAGCCATGCGAACGAGATCATCTTGAAAATTAAGAAGTTAAACGGGGCAAAGCCCGCGGGTTACAGCTAGTAAACTATATATTAACGAGTTTTTAACTAATATTAATAAATAGATTGTTAGAGATTACATTAGCTGTCGTGTTAAACATATTATTTCTTGATATTTGTTAACATAACTTCCAGTAATTTACCCATTGCATTAGTTTTAATTGGTTACAAATGTCAGTGGGCGTATGGCTTATCTCTTTGTAAATCAATAAAAATAAATATTTGAGCTAATTAATAAAAAATATTGTTCAAACAATCATACCTTGCCAGGTTTCAGGCACAAGGCTTAGTGGCTCAGTGAGCTATTGGCTGTTCTCCCATTTATGGACTTGTCATTTAGGTTCGGCGGTTACAAAGAAAGGGTTCTTAACTGTACTGTGAGGCGACAAAAAAAGCTGTTGGTCTGATACATGGACGGATATGTACAATGTACATAGAACGAAGGTTGGTAGTCCAATGATGTCCTTTGGAGGATTTACACATGGGCGAGGCATAACAGATATGTAGCACATTCCAAAAGCGGGTACATGGAATCCCATACTGTTTCAAAGTCCACGTAGTTTCACAGGAGTTCCATGAGACCTTGTTGGCTTTTTCTGAACAGCATGTGGGGACAAAAGAGCCAAGAAGAAGAGAAGCTAAAATAAGACCGTATAAGTATAAGTAAGTGGACTTGAAGCTCACAATCTATCAGGAGAGCTAATATCGTTGGCATCTAGATATTTCTCTGAACTGTCAACTGATATCAAGCATACGACTTAGATATAACAGCTTTGGAGAAAATACATGAAAACAACTTTGGTGAACATCACCTACAAAGGAGAGACAAGTTAAAAACACAGGCGAAACAGACAAAAGGTAAAAATTAGGTCTCGAGAAGTCACATTTAATTCAAATAGCCTAGAAATAACAGCTACTTTCAATATAAGTTAATACTTTACGTATGTAACTGGCCACTTATACTTAATGACTATTAGAGCTTCTTTTGATGATGTTTTCATAAAAAAAGGAACTAAGTCTTTGATTGCAGAATTGATGACAATACATATACAATTGAATGGTCACACGTTGTTGATTCTCGATCCATTTAATGGCCCGGCCATATTCTACCTATGAAGACATTATAAATAATTAATGTAACCATGTTATATTGAAATACGGAGGAAATGGGACATTTGTGTTTGATGGATATCCAGATCATCTAACGATTTAAGCATGAAGAGCAACTGAGAAGGGCTTCAAGTAATATATCGAGATCGAGATGTCCAATTTAAAAATAAATCTTTCAGGGGAACAAAAATAATGCGAAATGATTCGATGCTGGCAGTGCCAATGAAGATAAAAAACGCAGCGTTACAATTTTAGAATGGGGTTTTGTTTTTCTGTTTATATTTTGTTGTTATTTCGGGCAACCCATAAGGCCCATTTTAATTGTTTTTAAATTTAAAATTCATTTTTGTGCTTATTCTAATTTATAAAGGGATTCTGCACATCTCCAGGAAAATA